ATGATTACACTTAGGCCCGATATTCCACGAAAAATCAATGCCAAACTTGAACCGATTGTTTCAGATGTAGTTTACCAGGGTAAATTATTTGTCGCTGCGTGCTCAGACAAAGCTCGTGTACCAAACATTATTATGTCTTTATATGCGAATCACAAATTCTACCCTGAACCATGGCAACTGTTAATGTGCAGAAATACGACATCTGCTGAAGAAATTTCACTTTTCATTAAAAGATGCTTCCTTGCCTCAAAAAATGGTTATGAAGGACGATTATTTTGCATTGCGGGTTTAGAATTTCTTGAATTTGAATTACAATACAAGTTAGTTAACGAATTACGTAGTTTTCAAGAAACTGAACCAAATTATTATTTGGCTTTGATATGTTGTCAAGAAAATGGAATTCATCATCACATTCTTGACCAATTTTTAGAATATGTGCTTTTCACTAATGGTCTTGGTGAAAATACCATGAAAAATATGTACAAAGAACTTTGCCCAAACGTGGTTTGCGTTACCTCTGAATTTTCTGGTCAAGGAAAAACAGAATATATAAAGAATACTAGCGCTAGAGATAATTTTATTACGCGAAACTTGTTGATAGGCGATAACATACATTTTGACGAATTAGTTGTAAAACTAAAAGAATGTAAACTCAAATATATGGAGAGTATGCATTTGAACATTATTACTGTTAATAATCCTAATATTCTTAATGCTTTTCTTTTCGAATTTTTAACACTTGGAACTGTCTCAAGCAAGCTGAATTTTGTTTTTCTCCCAAAACTTGTGTTCATAGAAGTTGCATCATCTAATAATGAACGTTTACTAAACTCAATTCCAATTGCAAAATGTCTTAAAAGGGTGCACTTGACTTGGGACATAAAAAATTTTATTGTTTCGCGTGAAATTACTAGTCCGATTCAAATAGTAGCTCACTATTTAGATGCTTACGACAGTAAACAATTAATTGTCAAAGATATTTTGTTAGCCGGAAAAAAAGCTATTAAGAGACCTATAAATCCAGCACGATGTCAAGAATTAGTGCAAAAATACTTTTTTGAAGGCAATGATGAAAATATAAAATCTTATCGATTTGTAGAAATCTTTTTAAATGTATTTGCAGATCAGTTGGTTCGCTTATCATTAAGTTCATTTTTCAATGTCAACAATATTAAACTTATGGTCAAAGATAAAAACATTCGTACAACATTGTTGAAAACCCTACTTGATGTATCTAAGGATTTTGCAACACGCTCGGTCGCTACAAAGGCAGCTCAATTAGAATCAATACAATTACCAGAGAACGAAGATAATGATCAACTTGAGACCATTGTTCAATGGGACGCATCTA